GCGGGGCTGAGGGGACCCTGCCCCCCCCGCCTCCCCCCCACCCCCCGCATGAATTTCATGCACCGGGCCTCTAGTAATATGATAAAAGCCTAAAGTTAGTTTATGGGGACCATTTGTCTATAATTTTTGAAGAGTACTATTGGAGAAGACTAATTTTCCTTTATGAAATCACTTCAGATTTTGTAGTCAAGATATTAGTAGGTATATTTTATAGAAAACACTTTGCATACTTATTTCTTTTCTCAAATCTGTTTCATGTCTAGGTCTATATAGGGTACAGTTTTTTCTTGTGTGTTTCCTGATTCCACCTTGATATAATTCTATACGATTATTGGCTTTTTTTTTTTAATGGTATTACTAATTGAAAATTCCAGAACCAAAAATTTTACTACTTTTATTTTATTAAAAGCTTATATCTCATGTTACTCTTCCTCTTACAAATAAGAAAACAGACTAATCTGACCTGATTTTCATCTGTGAGAACAATGAGTAATGATAGTTTGTTTACATTATACATTTATAGATGATTTGTTTAAAGTACATAAAGCAAAACCAACATTGAAATGGAGACAGTCATTCGAAAGTTATTTGAAGACAATGCCTCCCTACTATCTTGGGGTAAGAATATTATTGTTAAAAATAGAAGTTGTTATAAAGTTTTATATTATGCTTATACTTTATTGCATTACAAACTTCTATTTAATGCTGTTATAGATTAAATGTCATGAAAATTGTGTGTACAAATAACCAGTATAGATATTCTGGGAAAGAAATGTTTCATGACTTGCAAAATGATAATGATGATGATCATGAATATATACAATGCTTACCCTGTGCCTGGTACTGTCCTAAGTACTTTACATGTATTAATCTTATTTAATTTATATGGTAATCCTCTGAGGTAGGAATGATCATTGTTCCTGTTTCACAGATGAGGAAACTAAAGCACTAAAATATTAAGTTGTCTAAGGCTACATTGCAAATATATGGGGCACTGGAATTCAGTCCCAGGCAGTCTGGCTTTAGAATTTAGGTTTTTAATCTCAATTGTTGTACTGTATTTTTTAATTGCCATTTCAGAATTATTTCTCTCTAAGGGTATAAAATTATTTTTGTTTCATTAGTTCCTGAATCTTCAGAAATAGGTTTTTAGGGTAAAATAAGTGTATATTCTCATAGAACCATATATTTTTAGAACCATAAATTTTCTAATTACTTAAAGCCTAGTTTATCATAGAGATAAGACCAATGTGTATATTATTAAGTGTACTTTATTTTATGAAAAGTAACTTTTTTAGACATTACTTCTGCTTTTAATTCAGGAATATTATAGCATTTGACTATAACTGATCTTTGTAAATGGTTCCTCATAAGAACATTAATTTCTTGAACTTTAAAAATCATATTTTATAGTTTTAAGTGATAAGTTTATGAGTGTCTAGCACATAATGCCTGCCATGTAAGAGAGTGAAAGGAAGAAACACTTTGAATATCAAATGTTACATATGTTGACTCATTTACATTTCATAGCAACCTGAGGATTTAGCCAAAGCTACATGGATATTAAATATCAGAGCTGGGATTTGATTCTAGTTTTACACAAAGGCTTATACACTTTCTAATATGTCAATGAATTATCACCCTTTTTCTGTCTGTATTCCATTCAAATATGCTAGACACTCCTGCTAGTGATATTTTTCATTGTACAAAGTGGTTTCAATTGGTCTCTCATTACAATTAAATATTATTTCACTATATCACATCCATAATAAATATTAGACTTTTTTTCCTCCTCGTTTTTCCTTCAGAGCTTCTTTCTGTTTTGTTTTTTTTTCAGCCCAGCTAATGATAATGGTCATAATCATTAACACCTACTGAATGCTTACTGTGTGCCAGTTGCTTTTATAAGTGCTTTACTTGTATTGGTTCATTTAAAACCATGACAACCATGTGAAGTAGATACTATTATTGTCATTTATAAATGAGAAACTAAGACATAGAGAGGTTATATAACCTGGTATAGTGTTACAAAGCTAGTGAGTGGTTGAGTCACACCCACACAGTTACCCAAAGTAGAAATCTTCTATTTCCTTTTACTCCTTTTCAACTACTACCCAAGTTCTACCAAATCTACCTCTGCAGTGTCTCCTGCTATTTCTTTTAAATTTACTATCTCCAGGGATACTAAGAAGTTCAAGACTTCACCTTTTCTTACCCTGGGTGTTATTATTATAGTCTCTAATCCCTTTTTACTAGTATTTCAAACTGCCTTTCGTACAACACAAACATTTTACTGAAATACAAATATGTTGTTACTTGCTTATTGAAGAAAAGGAGAAATTTGGGGGGCAGAAATGTTCAAAACTGACATAATACATCTAGCCATAAATTTCTGACAAGTGATGGTTGTTGTTTTTTTGCCTATAGCCTCTGAGGAAAGCTGTTAGAATGATGGGAGCACCTAACCTCATAGCAGACAGTATGGAATATGGACTAAGTTACAGTGTCATTTCATACCTCAAAAAATTGAGTCAACAGGTAATGTTAAGAAATAGAGCCATTACATATGTTGAATGGTTTTTAAAATGGATAGCAGACCAGATATTAGTTATTGATAATCGTAAAAGAATTCCATTATATTACTATATTACATTTTAAAATCACATATATCATCTACACTAATAAAAGAGAAACATGGTAATTAGCGTATGACCGCTACCCTTTTCATTGGCTAATCAGTGAGTATATGCAAATTAACTGTCAGCCAAGATGGCGGCCGGCAGCCAGGCACTGAAGCGAGCACGAGGCTTGCTTGCTGCAGACTCCAACGTTCAC